TTTATTTAAATTACCATTGATTTAAAATTGTTTTACTCTTTAGAAACGCGTTTTAAAAGCACAAACATAAACAACGCAAACACGGGGTTTCAGATAGCTTTGTGATCTTTGAGCTAGTAAAAAATAATTGAATGTGCAGAATAAGTTGAAACAGAAGGTATTTAAATACGAAGATACCTGTGAATGCATAGATATTGCACATTAATTTCATAAATTAAAAAAGCATAAGCATTTTTTTTAATTAAATTTTTTTTTTTTTTTTTTTTTTTTTTATTTTTTTTAAGAAAGCTTACCGAGTTTTACAAAAAAGTAACGATTTCATTCGATATTTCCGTTACAAATACTTGTACTTGTACCCTAAAAAAGTAACGAAAGTACAAGTAAAAGTACTAAATTTAAAAAGTAACGAAGTACAAGTAAAAGTACGTACTTTTTACTTGTACCGGCGGTACAAGTAACGAAAATAAAAGTACTGCCATATATGTACATTAGTAGTCTTAAACCCAAAATTTGGGTCTGCTGTTCAACTACGGTTATATAAAATAAAAGGCAGTCCTTACGCCATTTGTTCTTTACCTCGGAAATAATAACCACGAATGTCAGCAGAAGTGAAATTCGAATAAAAATTCTAAATTCAAGAACGAATAATGTTTTTTAGACCTTGCTTTAAAATTCTGGAAACGATCTCAGTCTTGTCGAAGTATCTTCCATTAAATATTCAGTTTTATGGCCACTAAAAGAAGAGATTTTTCGGTAAAGAGCTTCTCATAAAATTCTTCCTTTTCCTTCTTGACTCAAGAGAGAATCATTTTTATTCTGAAGTTTCCTTAAACAAAAACATTATTTGGAGCTAAAGAGAAAATATCTCGCGTGTTTATTACTTGTTTATTAAAATAGAGGAAATTATTTTAATTCACGCCACATAAACTCTTAGTTCTTCAATTTAGATTTCGGGAGAACGAATTTAGATATTTATTGGTTATAGGGATCATGTGTTGATGACTATTTTTCCGAGTTACCGCCAACACGAAAATCGGTCCCTACAACGGATAAGTACCGAATTTAAGATGCATTGACAAAAAATTTCGATATTTAAAAATATATAACGCAATATTTTGTACAATTTAATTCTATAATATTTATAAATTGATCAATATTTTCGTTACCTTCATAAAAGTTATTAACGCTCGCTGACACTAACATCGTATTCAATAATTGTCGCTATGCACTATTTTCAAATTCGATAATAAATAATAATAACTGTAGTGATCACGATATTATCGTTTTTTACATGTATACACCTATGTGTATTATTTTTAGCCTGTGACAAATGTAAACAAGAATATAGCGTTGTTCTTACGTGAGCTTAGAACAAACTAGATGTGTGGAACAGACTAGATTACAAATTATCGTGTAACAAAAGTAATTAAAAAAAACAATATTGGTATAAGTCATATATTTACCGTTATCCAGTAAAAATACTACCGGATTCTGTCGAGTCACTGGTAAGAAAAACAAAATGTACATCAAAACCAGTTTTATTGTCGATTAAAGGGAAGAGGAGTAGAATGGAAACTATTAGAAACACAGCCAAGTTTTATCAGGCAATCAAACTGATATTGATTTTTTTCACGGCACCTTCCTCATTAGTGACCCAATTGATTTTTTAACTATTTTTCCCTTTTTTTTCTCTTAAATTAGTTTCGATCCCTAATCAAGGGCGCCGGCAGGGGGGTGCAAGGAGGTGCACTTGCACCCCCCTGTTTTATTTTCCATACAATTAAAGAGGTACAGAAAAACAATTTTTTTATAAACTTTTTTAATTAAAAATATTTTTATTCGAAAACAAATAATTAAGTAATTATTGNAAGGTTGTTTTTTTAATGTGTTTATACAAGAGTAAATAATTTAAAATCAATTGAAATTGAAATAAAAAAAAATTATTTATTCAAATTGATTCGATATTTCAAGGTCCTTATAGCAAACTGTTTAATTTATTTTAGTTCATTTTATTTTAAATTATTTTATTTCAGTTATTTCATTTATTTATTTTATTTCATTTATTTATTTTATTTCGTTTATTTATTTTATTTCATTTGTTTATTTTATTTTATTTATTTATTTTATTTCATTTATTTATTTTATTTCATTTATTTCATTTATTTAATTATTTCATTTATTTAATTATTTCATTTATTTATTTCATTTATTTAATTATTTCATTTATTTAATTATTTATTTATGTATTTTGCTTTCAAAATTATATGAAAACGCGATTTTTGGATTTACAAGCTTAGAAAAATTCAGAAATTTGCAAAAAAGAACCATTTTTGCTGTCCCCTGCTTGAGGGTGCCTGAAATTCAAAATAAGAGTAATTATATATTTTTCTTTTGTTGTCCCACCTTTGAGTTAAATTAGTTAAAAGAATTAAAGCATCTTTTGACAAAAAAAGCAATTTTTCGAAAGTACTAAAGAAACCTTACCTATTACGGAGTTCAAAAGACAAAAATTAAATAAGTATTCAAATAAATGAGTGAAAAATAAATTAGTAAAATATTAATAATTAAGGCAATCGGAATCATTGAAAAAAAGATTCGAAAATTTCTCTTCTTCCTTTCATTAAAAAAGGAAAGAAAAAACAATAAATGGAAGTATATTTACAAAAAGGATTATATTATTGACTTAAGCCTAAATATAATTCATATTTATTTGTTCTTTCTTTAATGAACTTTTCTATTTACGAATTTCTAATCCTAGACTCTTATCAAATCATTCCATCAGCTGCAGAAAAATATTACTTCATTTCTGTTTTAAGTTTATCTTTTAAACAGGGCGCACAGGAGGAAAAAAAAGAGGAATATTTAGGGAAAGAGTCATTAAGTGTGATTAGCGACGATTATTTTATTTTTCTTTCCTATTTCTGTTATCTTCCTTCGCAATTTGTTACACAAAACACTCAAAATAAAAATAAAAATCAATTGATAGAGAACTCTAATGATAGTAAATGAACCGTTTTCCGATTTTTCTCTCTGATTCTATTGAAATAGATTTTTCAATGAGGGAGTTTTTTTTTCCTTTTGTTTTAACGCAACTATAAAAAAAAGATCTTATCATTAATGGAATAAATAAATTTTCTTCATTTTACACAAATTATTTTTTAAAATTATTTTTTTACTTGTTTACTTGTTTATATAGAATCTTATAGTGCGTCTAATAATATGGCAGTGTTGGGCATCATTCACGAAAATTTTATTCATGACTAAATTTATTCAGAATAAATTTATTCTGAATGATTATTCATATGAAAATTTAGTCATTATTCATCATTCTTTATGCAAATGTATAAAAATTTTTGAATAATGATTGATGAATAAACTTATTAGTCATGACTAATTTTTCTGAATAAAATTTTGAATAACCAGCAAAAAATGCAATCGATATGTCTTTGTCTATAACGAGATGCAAAACATCGTTTGCTCTTAAACGTCTCATCATCCGTTCCCATTTTTGTTGACCGGTGAAATTATTCAGTTATTCTTGACTGATGAATAAAGGATACTGAATAACGAATAATGAATGATTTATTCTTTATTCAAAATATTTCTGACTAATGAATAAATCTTTATTCATCATTCATATTTTGAATAATTATTCATCATTCTTTATTCATTATTCTGAATGACAAATGCCCATCTCTGTAATATGGCCAGGGACTCGGGGACTGTACAAGACGAATGATACGTTGAAAGAAATTTGTTACCACCTAAGTACAGAAATCAGTTCGCATACTACCCCACCCGTTAAAGTTCCATTTTTTAAATTACCTGATTTGTAAACTACCTACTGTAGATTATCTGCAAATCTACACTATCTGCAACTCGATAAATTAACAATAAATTCTTTTTTCGAACAACGTTTCTTATGCGCTTAAATAAATATACGTAATGTTATTTATTTATTTTTTGAATTTTAAAGAATAAAATTAACACAATCGAACAATCAACACTTTAAATCGAAATAATCACCGCGCAATTAACACTTAATTATCGGATTTCGCGTACTTTGACTGTACGAAAACCGTTAATATGCGCATTAAATAATTAAAATGCAGAAAACGCTTAACTCTGAACTTCAATGGGTCACCCTAGCTAACATGTAGATTAGCTATAGTATGTCTAAGGTAAGAACTCCCCTAGCCATTCGTCTGAACCCGTGGTGGTGATTATGGTATAGTCTGTCTAAGCTGAGAACTCCTCCCGCCACCAAGTGTGAGGCCGCCTGATGCTATGGAAACAAGAATGGCGCATTTTAGGGAGGGTAGCTTCATTCTAGGACAACACAATAGACCGAAGAAAAAGATTCCCTTTCTCCCGCCGAAACCACTCCAAAGTAGTGAAACCGCACCCCAAATTGAAATAGTCATACCTCGTTACCATAGTAATCAGTAATTTTTACTATTACCTAATTATAAATAAGGTTCGAGATGCTTGTGTGTACGATCTCCCAAAATCAACATAAACAATGTCTAATATTTGCTTTAAACTTTAACAGATTGTAAAAACTTAATTGTAGTCATTTCGTAAAGTAAGATAAAACTCATAGTCTCTTACTATTACTATTGATTTTGAAACCAAGTACCTTCGAACCATGAAACCAAGTACCTTAATCCACTTGTGGGTTAGTAAATGTGCAAAATTAGAAGATTGTTTCTCCACAAATGCACTATTCCCTTAGTCAATAGCATGGGAGAGCCGGTTTTGTCATGCGGAGAAGAATGCAGGTTAAAATACGACTTCTTACGTGCAGAGTCGTCAGTGGGTCAACACGTAAAAACAACTCCAGATTTCGGTTTTCGCAGGTCATTCGCATGGGAGTATCAATTACAAAATTACCGCGATCATTAACGATAACAATACACATTGAATACAATAATATCGTGAATATTATACACGACGATACTAATTGAATATATAGGGGAGAGTGGGGNGAGTTTTATTTTAATTAACAGAAAATTACTTTTATGGGGGTCGATGGATATTTCGAAAAACTATGTAGGGGTCGATGATCAAAAAAGTTTGGCAACCCCTGCTCTAGGACAACAAAATAGACCGAGGAAGATTCCCTTTCCCCCGCCGACCCGAACCGAAACCACTCCAAAACAGTGACCCTACACCCCAACTTGAAATAGTCATACCTCGTTACCCTAGTCACCGCCACAGGTCCAGGCGAAAGTCTGGAGGAGTTCTTATTTTACTATAACGAGGGAGCCGTTTTCGAATATTATTTTTCAACCCCTGATAAGAATATATTTTTAGCAAGGAATCAAGAAATTATCTATTAAATGTAGTCATTAGAGCAGCGATGGCTCAGGGGATTTACCAGGAGAGCATTTACCTTCCAATACGGGTTCGAATCCCAGTTGATACGAATTCCGCATCCGGCTTGCACCGATCACAGTGCTGACGTGAAATACCCTACGTGGTAGGCGGAACATGGGTTAGAGTCCCCTTGCCGTCAGGCTAACCGTGGGAGGTTCTCGTGGTCTTCCTCTCCATGTAACGCAAATGCGAGTTAGTTCCATCGAGAAGTCCTCCACGTAGGCAAAATTTCTCCCAATACTCGATCCAGGAGTTCCCTTGTCTTCGGGATTGGGTTCAAAATGACAAGGCTACGGAGTTGAACATTAGTAGTCGTAAACCATATGAACGGGTCGGGTGATCAACGACGGTTATAAAATAAAAACTATAACGAGACATAACTATTTCAAGTACGAGACATAACTTTGTGACGGGGGGAGTTCTTACCGTAGACAAACTATATGTAGAACACGTTAACAGACTTCCAGCTTAAACGGTAACATCTGTATAAACTCACTTAGTTTCAGGTACCCTTTATACCCGATACAACGTTCTAGTAAACCAGTTCCATTCATACACTCAATAACATGCCATGAAATCAGTGAGGGCAGTGTTGATGGGGGTAATTGTGAAGTACAACATCTATTTCATGTGATTGCATCATCGGTACCTAAAGGTTCTGCTGATTTCGCCAATATCCAGTTCGCATTTGAAATGATCTTCGCAATTTCTCACGGTGGCATTACGGGTATAAATATATAATGCAGGATTCATTAAATTTATTTGTTAATTAGAAATCCTAATTAAAGTCAATTAAAGGTAGTAAAAGTGGAAATTAAAGGTTGACAAGTAAAGTCGATTCTCTCATTTGATTCTCTAATAAAGATTCTCTAATAAAATTATATAATGCTAATAAAAAGTGAAAGAAAACTTATGTTTATAAGAAATTAACTCTTTATGAGGCCGTAGGAAATATATTTTCCCAGCTATAATTTATGCAGCCATCTGCTGATAATTTTAAAAAATAAAAATTTTTACTAATGATAAGAAATATTATTCAGAGAAAGTTCGTTTCTGTGAATGATTTCATAACTTAAAATACCGTCTGCTCTTATTAACACATTCGAAGTCAAGCATCACTGACTGCGGTCAGTAAGCGGGTAGGTGAACACTTTGATCAGTCTGTGTAGAAACCAAAGGTGCACAGTATCGGTCTTCGTTTTCTACCGTAAAGTGCTCGACTTCCCGAGCAGGTCGTTGGGCTACCAAGGCAGAGGAGCCATCCCCTTTGCAGAGGATCAAAATTGAGGTGGCATGTCTTCGAATCATCCTTAGGGATGTTTCCCGGACCGCTGCCTGTAGCTCATTGTGCAGTTCTAGTGCGACGTAAATAAAATACCAACCTACCATAAAAATTTAAAAAGAAAACTAAAGTAATCATTTTAAATGGTTAAAAGTAATTCATGCTAGGAAATTTAACAGTCTGGGTTTGTTTTTTCAGGAATTTCTGACAGGCCTGTCGATGATGACGAGAGGTCCGACAGTTGATAAGCTTCGATGGACTTTCAGACTGTACGACATTGATCAGGATGGCCGCATCGGACGTGATGAAATGCGGGAGATAATACACTCCATTTACCTGATGCTTGGACGATACACGGAACCCTCCGTCCACGAATTCACGGCAAAACATCACGCAGACCAAGTCTTCGAAGTGAGTATCTATGCGTATATATATACACAATGAGGTGACTAAAGTCATGATGCAAATACATATGGTAGTATTATCGCGTACAAAATGTATAGATGTGTAGTGCACATGAATTTTATTTGCGTTCAAGTTATTCATCTAAGAATATTTCTAATGAAATTATGACCACCAGACGGTCCCGCAGTGGACTAATCGTACAGACACAGTTCCCAGCAAAACACCGAAGTCAAACATCAATGGCTGCGGTCAGTAAGCAAGTGGGAAACCACTTTGGTCAGTCTACGTAGGGACAAAAAGTGCTCGCCATCAGTCTTCGTTAAACTGTTCCATAGTACAGTGCTCGACTTAGCGCGAAGGTCATCAGGCTACCAAAGCAGGGGAGCCATCCCCTCAGCAGAGGATTAAAATTGCGATGACATGTCTTCGGATCATACACAGGGACGTTTCACAGACCGTCACAAAGAGCCTATTGAGCAGCTCTAGTGCAACGTAAGTAAAGTACCTAATTTTGACGAGCTTGAACAGAGTTAAATGCCACGAAAAAGTCAAACGCATCTTAAATACACACCCACATCCTCAGGGATGATTCCCAAACCTTGGCCAATAGTCCATTGTGCAGCTTAAGATTGACGTAAATAAAATAACAACCTACCTTACCAGAAAACGAGGATTAAGAGATTTTGAACCTGGAAGGATGGTTGGAGCTAGACATATGGGGCAGGAACATTCCATTTTGAAAATTCTGAGGGAATTCAGCATTCCTAAATCTACAGCGTCAAGAGTGTGCCGAGAATGTCCGACATAACCTCCCACCATATACGACCGACGTATGAGTAAAATAGTCTGTGTTAACCGACGAGTAACAACGCGTGAAATAATAACAAGCATCAATGCGAGAGATGAAAATGGGCGGGTCCGTTCGGACAACGCCGCGAAATTTTACTGTAATGCGGTATGGCATCTGAAGACCGACTCGAGTGCTTTTACATCATAGATTCTCAACCCTTTTAACGTTGCCGCCCCCTTAAATAGCAAAAAACATTTCAACGCCCCCCTTCGTGAAAATGCAGTTGTTTAGAGCATGGGGACGGAGGGAGGTGTGCTGAATTATAAGCAAAATCTTAATTTCCTTACGCTTTAAATTTGTTTGGTCTCTTTAAAAAATATAATGTGCTCATTAACTCGATAATTTTCTCGCGGCAGGTAATCGCAGTCTATTTGTTATAATAAAAATAAATACGTTTAATGAAAAAAATACAACAAAGAAACCTATGCTTAAAAAATAATTTATTCTCAATTAGATAATTAAAAAAACAACCAAAATGATTTTTAGCACTAAAAAGTAGTATCAGCAAAACATTCAAGTAACTATGTTAGTGGGATGATTGTACTTAATGGTTCAGAACCAATTTCTTAACGGTCGGCTCAATACTTTTAGTTAGATGATGACGCTAATCCCCTCGTTGCACAATTTTGAGTCGATTTCTCCCTTTCGTGATAAGATCTGTAACAACATTGATTCCACGTTCGACAAACTAGGGGGAAGGGAAGGCAATTAAAAAATGTTTAATGATAGTCTACAGTCCAGGATAGAGACAACTGATGTTACCTTTAAGCCAAAATTCTGTGAGACGATCATCATTTCAAGGTTTACTTAGTTAAAAGTTCAACCAATTCCTCGTAAATCTGAACCTCTACTGTTTCAATATTCACAAAAGGGTTCAGAACCCATAAATCCATTGAGGCACTTCTAGGGAACAAAACATCTTTAAAACGGTCAGAAAAGTTCATGTGCAAAGAGTCAAGGTGTTGACAATATTCTTGTGCGTCATCAGAGTGAATTTCGCCTGCTTGGCTGAACTCATTCCAACCAAAATTCTGCTTCCACGAAATGAGTTTTTTTAGAAAGGCAGAAATAACTGATTTTGTAGGGATCAAATTGAGCTCGTTGCCTTGAAGATGTAAATTATCACCCTTAAATTTTACAGATAAATCTGTCAAAGTCTTTCTTAAATTCCAGCAATCTGTCTCTCAGAGCTACATCTCTGTTTTCGAGGAACTCAAGCATAGAGTCGAAAAGATTCCAATACCTATTGAGACAGAAGCTTTTGGAAAGCCAGCGAAGTATCGGCAAGTGATTGAATTCTTTATCGGTTTTCTTTCACAGCTGTCTGAATAATCAATCGTAGAGAGCATTTCAATGAATTTTGTTCACAGCAGATATGGCATATTGCAATGATTGATGCAAACGGTTGCTGAGATTTTCCCCTACTAAATGCTTTCTGTGAATCACGCAGTGAACAGCTAAGATATCTGGTAACTTCCCTTCCAAAAGAGCAAAGTCGACCCACCATTGCAGGAGCCTATCAGTGGTAATAGACATAATATTCTCAAGAGGAATGTTTTTCTCTTTAAAATAATCTTTGAAAGTATTAAAAATAGATTTACCTTTGATATCTACAATCAAGCTTCTTGCAAAAAGCATCTCTTGAATAATTTTTCCTACCTTTACAAACCGGACCTATGCCTACAGTAAAGCCTACATTATCTGGCAAGGTTGATTTATCAACTTGAAGGGAAAATTCGTTGGATATCAAAAGTTTGCGTAAAGAAATTTCAACGTCTTCAGCCAATTCATCATTTCGTCGCCGCACTGTATCGTTGCTTACGGGATATTTTTTTATTACAATGGATGCGACTGGATGGTGTAAAACTGTTTCTAAAACTTCCTTGACAAACGGCAGTATCAACTCTGCTCCGATGGTATGAGCTTTCCCAGATTTAGCAATACATTTTGATATATCATAAGAAGCTATTAAACCAACGTCGCATTTTTGTGATGAGGTTGCTAGTAACCCAGAGACCGAAGGTGACTTCAGAAGCGTGAAGGAAGACGTTCATGAAAAATGTCAAATCTTCATTTTGTTTGTCAGGATAAGTTTTTTGCAAATGCTCCTGATAACGATAAGATTTCATTACCTCAGTAGATAAAACTTTATTACAAAGTAAACACATGGGTAGTTGAGAGTTCAACAATGATTGAACAAATCCCAACTTCAAGTATGTGGCACTGTATTGATGACACCTCTTTTTATTAACCGACATTGTTGGTGGCAGGGGAAAAAAACTGTAATGAAGCTAAGAAAAACCTTTATAAGAAACACGGGTCAAATCAAAAATTCATACTAAAAGCGCAATGACTTCAATTTTCACCAAATGGCTTGAATAAGACAAAGACAAAAGGTACAGACTCATGCGCTGAGTGTGTTGGTTCGGATCGGAGAATAGGTGCCGTTAAAGTTCATTTTATTGCTGGCACAAATGGTGTATCGGATAATCTTTATTTATTATATTGATTAAATTTTTTTTTCTCTTTAATATTAATTTTATTTATTAAATAAATCTTAATTTAATAATTTTATTTCTAAGTTTTAAATTTGAATGACAAAACATGCTCATCGCCCCCTACCACCCAAAACATACCCAACGCCCCCCTACTGCCCAAAACAAGTTCACCGCCCCTCAGCATATTCCCAACGCCCCCAGGGGGGCGGTATCGCCCCCGTTGAGTACCAATGTTTTACATGATCAGTACGACATCGTATCCAGGGCCTTACCAGAGCTCGGGACCATATTGGATGGACCATAAACGACTGAAAAACTGTAGCTTGATCAGATGAGCCATAATTTCTACCGTTCTGAGCTGATGGGAGAGTTTGAGGGTGGAGTATACCCCACGCTGTCAACAAGGTACTGTGCAGTCTGTGGTGGCTTCACAATGGTGTGTGCTGCTCTTTCATGACATAGACTGGGTCACATGGTCCGATTGTTCCGTTTATTGAAATGGTTATGGTCAGCTACTTGGGGACCACTTATCCATTCATGGACTTTATGTACACAAACAACCATATAGTTTATATGGGTGACAAAGCATAATGTCACCGCGCCTTAATTGCTCTGGACAATTAAGCAAATGATTTGACCACCTAGATCACCCGACATCAATCATATCGTATATTTATGGCACATAATCGAGGGGTCAATTCGTGCAGAAAATCCTGCACCTTCAACACTTTCACAATTATAGCGTATTCCAGCGTTGCGATAGCGAATGGACGATCAGCTGGAGCTTACGTCATAGGTCACGTGTGTAAAAATTCTAAGAAAGAATTATATTTCAATAAATTCTATCTGCGATACGGAGCTGTATATAATTAATTTCACGTTAATTAACATTCTAATTCATTTGGAAAAAATTAGCTCAACTTAGACAAGCCATTTTGTTTACGGAAGATCAGCTGGTGCTGATGTCATAGAACACATGAGTGGGCATGTTTAATCTTCTTAAGGTGCGAATACCTAATTATATAATATACCTCTGTTTATGATATTAAAATGAAGAGTTTGTGTGCGTGTCCCTTTTATAACTCCAGAACCTATTGCGCTACCGTCCTAAAATTTGAACAGTGGGTAAAAGTAACAATTTTAGCCCCCTTGATCTAAAATCGTTCGAAAATTTCGATCAGCTCATTCAAGAGAGACATTTTACAAATTGAATTTTCTTATTGGTTTAGAGCTAGCTCTCATGATATAAATGTAGCTGCACACGATTTTAAAGATAGCATGAGTAATATTTGCTTGCTTATAGCTTTTATTTGTCAAAAAACGAGTTTATTGCATATTCTTAGATATTTAATAAAATTTTATTCGTCATGTCGATCAGTGTTGCCTTAGCTTATTACTCAGGAGACAAATTTATTTAAATCGGCTTCTAAATTTATTAACGTTTTACAAATTGTATTATTTTTTTGTGTAAATTACATTTCTTTTATAAATTACCGTTAAAGAGATTCGTAAAATGATTTAGAACTTTATGATTTGCTTTATACACAAAGTGATGATGCGAGGTCAAATTTTATTTAATACATCAGCATGAAAGCGGAAATATTAAATGACGGTTGACAATTCACCAAATTTGTTATAATGAAATTTTAATTTTGAATGCTTTTTAAAAAAATGATATTTGATCAAAATTATTTATGCTTTTTAACAGATCTTAATTTAATTTTAACGTAGAAAGTGAGAGCAAACAAAATTTTTCTTAGTGCATAGATAAGTGAATAATTTCAAGTTTTGCAGGAAAAAAAATTTCTGCCAACAGTGTAAAAATATTTCCTGATAAAAATTAAGATAAAAACAATAGCACACTGTTTAGCGGTACTTTTTACCGTAAAATTTACGGAACAAAAAATCTGACATAGCGTAATTTTACAGTAAGATTTACTGGAAAATTACTGAATCACTGTTAGTAAATATACAGTCCCTGGCCAAATTATTAGACGCACTGTAAGATTCTATGTAAAATCTTAATTACCAGGTGTATACAGCTTTATTGTTTTTATGCTGCTAAACCGGTTTGTATTTGTTTACATTCGTGTATCAATGGGTTAAATTAGACGATATATAATGTAAATTCGACGATTGGATAAATTAGACGATATATTATATAAATATAGAATATTTATTATTTTGGTTTGCACTTGTTTACGTTCGTGTATCAATGGGTTAAATTAGAAGACATATAATATAAATTCGACGATTGGATAAATTAGACGATATATTAGATAAATATAGAATATTTATTATTGTGGTTTGTACTTGTTTACGTTCGTATATCAATGGGTTAAATTAGACGACATATAATATAAATTCGACGATTGGATAAATTAGACGATATATTAGATAAATATAGAATATTTATTATT